CTGCCATCTTGAAATGCAATGGCAGATTTTGAGAGAAAAGATTTGACAGTGTCTTGTGGATTCAAGTAAACTTGTCAAACGGCAGGGTTCAGAGGCATTGTCACTGCTGAGTGCTGCCTCTGGGGGACTCGGTAACGATTTTAGTTCATTAAGATATTCTCCAGTTACCCACATAGCACTACAGAGCATTTCCTTCCTCATGCTCAGTATTCCTATGTGTGCTCAAAAGAAGGAAGGCCTAAGGCCCAGCAAGAAGGCTCAGAAGGGAAAGGCTGCCAAGCCTGACAGCTTGAGTTTGAGTCCTGGGACCCACATGGTGGAAGGAGAGAACCAACTCCTTCAAGCTGTCTTCTGGCCTCCATGTGTGCATATTCACAGATGTGCACACAAAATATAAAGACAAAATTTAAAGACATCTAAGGATATAAGACCCAGGTTAAAATATAACTTCTCCTTCAGTAGAAGAGTGACATGGCAGATATGTCATGAGAAATTTCTCAACCAGGCAGTTGGTTCCTGGCAAGCAAATGCTATATCCAACTGAGCCCTCTACCTTCCTCCAGGTATAGTTCTTGGACCAATGTCTTAGGAAGACCTTGGGACCCTTGTTTTATTGTGCTTTGTAGGTAACCCATGTTTTACAAATCCAGAGGTTTGTGGAAACTGTACTGAGCCCATCTACTGACATCATTTTCCTAACAGCTTATATAATCATTAGCATTGTTTAGCAATAAATTACTTTGCAAATTGAGGTGTGTACATTTTAAAAAATAATGCTACTACATACTTAATAAAAATACAGTACAATGTACAAACAGCTGCTATATACACTGATAAACAAAGAAAAATTGTGGCTTGCTTTATTTGTAATGTCTGTTTGTCCTGATGGTCTAGAAATAAACAAATGACACCTAAGTTATTCTTACAGTTTTAGTAGGTACTTGTAGATGGATGGAAAATCCAGTTAGTTGCCAAAAACTTTGTGTTCACCTCTCAAAAGCTTCAGGTTTACCAAGTTTCAAGTAGTCATTCTGTGGTGTTTTTGCCAGTACACTTCATTTGGATGCAGAGAAAAGCACTAAATCTGTCAGTGTGCCCTACTTGGGAAATATTAACTAGGCACTCACTCCCTTTCCCAGAGCTAAATAATTTCACTTAACAGTATTTATGGCTGTTAGACATTGGCAGTCTTTCCTAAAAGTGTTGCTTTATCTGTTCATGTTAAAAATTAATCATGTAAGCTTTCTTCTGTTTTTCTTTCTTCAATTACCTGCTGATACAGAGCTTCAGGAGTTTTTTGTTTGCCTGCTTGCTTATTTCCGTGTTTGCAGTTGTGTGGTGAGGGGTCCCTGATGCAGAAACACACAGTTATCGCATTGGCTAGGATAGAGGAGCACCATTAAGAGAACTTCTTAGGACCCAGCCTCAGCTATCACCTCCTCCTGTCCAGCACCATTCGGGACAGAAACAGGGTGCATTGTCATTTTTTTCAGTTTTCTTTTAAAAAAAGTTCCAAAGATTCATCAGAAAGTCAGTGTTTCTCTGTACCATCTGACCCAGGAGACATAGTGTTCGATACAGCCAATGAGACAGAGGATTGGGTATCCTGGGGCAGAGAACGAACTCCAACCAAGGACCCTGGCATGCTCTCCTCTGGAAAACGCTCCCACATACCAGAATCTTGCACTTAACCCCTGCTGTCCTGGCTGACTTGTAAGGGACAACGTGGGGAAGGGGTTGCTCTTAAACAGTGGCATCTTCACCTAGCCCATCTGATTATATGATTGGGCATGTCTTGCAAATCATCTGTTATAAACTTCTCCCTGTGCCGAGTATAAAATGGGAGGCTCAGAAAATATTCCACTGACAATCCCTGACACTATACCCCTTCCCAAGGAGTACATGCAACCTGAAACATGGACTCTCCAACCAGAAACCTTGGGTCCTGACCCAGAGACAAGAGCAGCAAACCCTGACAGTGTAGGTCACAGATAAGAATTCCTCTCCACCCTTGCTACTCAAAGTGTGGTCCATGGAACAGCTGTGTCAGCATCATTTGGGACCACAGTGGAGATGCAGAATACCATGCCTGACTTCAGACATGCTGAATCAGTGTTCTTTGACAGCATCTCCAGGAGATCTGCAGACAAATTAGCCTGGAGTGCTACACCAGTGTTGAAAGAGGAAGAGGCATATCTTCATATTTGTGTCAGAACATTTGTAATATACATACTTCATCTAGGTCCTGTGCTGGCATCACCTCCTACAGCAGAAAAAACAGAGGGTACCCCTACAACTTGACCCCAGGGGCTGTCTCCTCTAAACACCAAGACTAACTGACCAGCCTCATAAACAGCTTCACTGGAGCCTTGGGCTATGCTCTATACAGCATGTAGTGAGGCAGTTTTGTTTTATTCCCTTTTAAAATGTTGTTTTCTCTGAAGGCTGATGGGTAAAGTGGGAGGAGACTGGGGAATGGAAGACCCTCCCCTAAGATCATCTAGACCTAAGATTGCAGGCATGGGAGCTGGCATCCTAGTGTGACACAGCAAAGTTGCTCCATTTGTCTCAGCTGGAACCATCTTTGATTTAACCTGAAACTGCACCCTCCTGTTTCTACCACCCCACCCACTGTGAAAAGTCCCAACTTTCCCCATCCTTTCCTTGGAAGTGACTAACCATGTTGTAGAAACTCGGGGTCAAAATGCAAGAGTGAGAAGGGAAGAAAAGGAAGGATGCAGAGGTCATGATGAAGCAGAAAGGTTGAGTTAGGTGTAGATTAGAAGAAAGGACATATGATAGGTAGGATTTTAGTTGGGAGGGTGGGAGAGGAGGAAGGGAGGGAGACGGGAACTGGGATCGTCATGCAATTCAATCTTGTTTGTAATTTAAATATAAAAAATAAAAAAACAAAAAACAAAAAATGCCCCAGCTAACTGCATGTTTTTGGCTTCTGTTAAACTTCTTGCTTGCTTTACTTCTGCCTGCAACTGCCAACCAGGGTACAGTTTTTTTTTTTTTTTTTTTTTTTTTTTTTTTTTTTTTTTTTTT